TATAAATTTTAACATAATAAACATATTTATACAATGCAATATCTAAAATATATTATAGACATTTTTATATAACACAACATTATATTGTATGATATATACTCGTCTTTTATCTATCTTTTTCTTTTTTTTTTTTTCTTTTTTATTGTAATGACGTCAAAATCCACAGTTGCTACCCGAAAGTGTATACTGGGTAAACATCCGGCCGAACTTAATATTCTGCAAATTAGGTCCGACAGACAAGTCACAGTAGACAAAACATGTATGACAGGTGACCTGAGACGACGGGGATTTGAACTCATGACCTCACGGTGACATGTCTCTTATCTATCTTGATAGTATATATTGATTGAGTCAATTTAAAGCAATGCTAATTTGTTGCAATCTGCACCATAATTAAGGTCATCTCCAACCCATCAACTCTATTTATGCAGTTTTAACTCTAAATATGTAGTTGCTACAGTAATTTTACTCCGACCATAACTCCATTTTTCACTATTATTTTTCAAAATATTCAATTTTTCTATTATTTTAAAAAACTTTTTATTTTTATAATTTAATATAATTTTTTTAAAAATTTTAAAAAATAAAAAAAATATTTTAATTTTAAAAAAAAGAAAACAACTTCATTTCTTTGCGTTCCTATCTTGCAACATCAAAATTGACATTGCACCGTAGTAACTCAAAAAAATAGCGCCTGTAGGAGATGCCGTAGGGCCTATCTACACAATCAAATATAGGTAGGTAGGAGGAAGTGGTCCCTACAAATATAACACGTAGGTTTACAATATTCGTACAATAAATACGTAGGGTTACTGCAATATCTTTCATGGGCCAAGTTGAAGTTCGTTGGTAGTTATATATATATATATATATATATATTGCTAATTTTGTAATTAATTTATCTAATGAAGATTTATGATTGAATTGTGGATATGGTGCCACCACTTGGCATAACTTTTATACAGCTATTAATTAATTATTTGCAGCTAACCTATACATTTATATATATCACTGCCACATCTAAATAATATTCTCTTCATCAAACCTATGATAATTTCCTTCCAAATTAAATAAATATTTTTATATGTGTAATTTATTGATAATTATTTTATATTCACCTAAATTATTATTATGCATACAATTTCTAGTGTCCTATAATTTTGTGAACAAATTATTAACTGTTTGTTTCACAATAAATTATTTCAAGATCTACAAGCTTTATTTTATTTTATTGGTAAACTGTTTTTTTAGTCCCGTAACTGGACTCCTTTATCATTTTAGTCCTGTAAGTGGAGCTTGTCGCAAACTAGTTTCATAAGTGAAAAATTTTCGCTGTTTTAGTCCTCCGGCGCCGAAGGTGACGTGTCCGCCAGGTGTCCCGCCAGGTCAGCGACACCTGACGGACACGTTGATTTATTTTTTTATTTTTTTAATTGGACCAAATAAAAAAAAATAAAAAAATACAAATAAAATTAAAAATAAGTTAAAAATAAATTTTAAAAAAATTAAAAAAATAAAAAATCCACGTGTCCGCCAGGTCAGCGACACCTAACGGACACGTCACCTCCGGCGAGCCACGCGGGCATCTCCAACGCCGGAGAACTAAAACAGCGAAAATTTTTCACTTATGGGACTAGTTTGTGACAGCCTCCACTTACGGGACTAAAATAATAAAGGGGTCAGTCACGGGACTAAAAAAACAGTTTACTTTATTTTATTTTGTGCGTGTGAATTCAAATTATATTTAAATTTTAAAAATTCGATTTACTTATCATTCTCAATCAGTTTCTTTACGCAATATTTTTTATTAGAATAATTCTTCATAAATATTATTTAAAAAATAAAAATATACACACATATTAATATAGTATATACATTATCCATTCATAAAAAGTCAACTATTCAATACAAAATACTACTCTCTCCCCGTCCAGCTACAAAGTATACATATTTCTATTTTGGAACGTCCAATTACAAAGTAATCATTTCATTAAATATCCCACTTTTTTCCATAAATACTTTTACTTTACATCACATCATTACTTTTATACAAAAAGTAAGGGCAAAAATGTCATTACACTACTTTTTACCTATCCACTATAATTAAAATACTATTATTTCTTATACTCCACGTCAAAAGTAAATGTATACATATTGTGTAGACGGAGGGAGTATTATTTTTTATTTTACCACCATAGTTTCCATCAATTTATCTAAAAATATTTAGTCTTAGTCATACCTTAATATTCAAACATGTGTATATATATATATATATATATATATATATATAAAGGTTACATTATATTATAATCTTCATGTTATATTTATAATGTAAAAGATTGAGCTAAATCTAGTATTGATAGTGCTTTACGACGCAATGATTTTTATATATTTTTATCTTTGGATAAATATGTGTTGAATTTAATTGTAGGTGAGATATACCGTTTTCATAAGATAAATATGTAATTAATTTAATTTATTCATGTGGTAATTTTAATTATGCAATATATTGGATATTTAAATAAATGAAATGCTGACCTTAAATATACAAAATACTAGTAATAATTAGCAGTGTTAAGTAATTTAGTTATATTATTGTTCAACAAACTATTCAGATCCATGCATTTTTATAAATATATTTTTGTGCTGAAATCAATATTATATTATATTATATTTCATCAGTCTCAGATACCATGTCTGCTTTAATGTAGATATGAGAATTTAAAAGAGGTATATATAATTAGTATATAATTAAAAATATATTAGTGAAAATAATTATTTTATAATAAAAATAATTATAGATTAAAATTAATATAACTAACTAATCTAATTAAAATTAAAATTTTAAAATTATTAAAATAAAATTAAAGTGTATAATTCTTTTCAAAAAAGAAAAATAACAAAATAAATGGGACAAACAGAAATGAAAATATGGACATGATAAGTGAGACGAAGGAAGTATTATATTTAATTATATCACGAGCTATCAAAGACTAAGAACATATATTTAATATTGTACTATCATATGTTGTTTGTTTTAATTAAACGTGTTAACCGATTCAAATCAGCACCAATGAGCATGGATATCGCCCTCATACATATATATATATATATATGTATGTATGTAGACTTACAACTTGCAAAATAATGAATTATATATAATCAACATTATACTTAGATTTGATTTATCTTTAGAAATAAACAGACCCATAGTTTATATAGCAATCAAATCGAAAAAATTTCATGATTATTACTTAGGATAAACTGTTTTTTCTAGTCCCGTAACTGAACCCCTTATCATTTTAGTCCGTAATTGAACCCCTTATCATTTTAGTCCCGTAAGTGGAGCCTGTCGCAAACTAGTCCCATAAGTGAAAAAATTTCGCTGTTTTAGTCCTCCGGCGCCGGAGATGCCCACGTAGCTCGCCGGAGGTGACGTGTCCGCCAGGTATCGCTGACCTAGCGGACACGTGGATTTTTTTTATTTTTTTTTCATATTTTTAATTTTTTTTTAAAAAACTTATATTTAATTTATTTTTAATTTTATTTGTATTTTTTTATTTGGTCCAATTAAAAAACAAAATTTTAGAAAAATAAAAAATAATAATAAATCCACGTGTCCGCCAGGTGTCGCTTACCTGGCGGACACGTCACCTCCGGTGAGCCACGCGGGCGTCTCCGGCGCCGGAGGACTAAAACAGCTAAATTTTTTCACTTATGAGACTAGTTTGCGACAGGCTCCACTTATGTGACTAAAATGATGAAGGATCCAGTTACGGGACTAAAAAACAGTTTACCTTTGTTACTTGATGAATATATATATGGATGGGTTTAATTGTATAAATTAATTTCACACATGTAGAAAATTGATATAATGTGAAATGCAGCTAGCATTAATTTAAACTTAATACAACGTAGCTTCTTTTTAATGTATAGTTAGGCAGGTTAGGTTAGGTTAGATTCTATGGTGGAGGGATCGATCAAATAGGTCTGCTCTTCTTCAGTTAATTAGTTGAACTGTACGTAGGATTTATATATATATATATATATACACATATATTTGAACTCAATTCATATTCATTTGGTAAGAGAACTAGATGATTTTTTATTTTTTTATGAGCTATATAGTTTCTTGTTTGATTGATTTATTAAGTAAAATTTTAAGTTACAGCTCAACTTCAAACTTGCACTTTTTCTTTCATTAATATTTTTCATTAAAAAAAAAAAAAAAACCTTTATATGGAAATTTAAAAATGGTGTTAGATGTCCCGTAAGAAGAGATGGCCTGGTGGTGTAAGGGTTGAACTTGTAACCATGAAGTCATGAGTTCAAACCCCCGACGCCTACCACACATGGTTTGCTTAGTTCGGGTAGCAGCTGTGAATAAAATTAGTAGCAAATACGAAATGACCCAAAAACAAACACACACTACTTTTACTCATCCAAATTAATGAAGTAAAATGTACGACTCTATATATCATTGTTTGTTGGCACTAATTAATATCTTGTAGTACTTGCATTCTTATCTTATGTATGCATTGTGGCTATATTACAAACTATCCTAAACCTGCCAGGCTCATTTATATTTCACAATGATATTAGGGTTCATTCATATAGATCTATATATAGAGAGCTTATTACTATTCTGAATTTTAAAATTCAGATACAATACTGACAACACATCATCATGCACTAACAGTCACAGTATTATATTATTATAGAAATATATTATTTATATTAATATAAAACAAATGTATCACATAATTTAACAATCCATAATATAATCTCGCACAACATATATTATTATTGATTTTAGCGCATAATATACTTATATACCACACAACTACAAATATGAACAAAAAGCATATAATTTCATTTCACACATGTGACGTCTATATATTTTATGTGTGTTATATGGCTATTTTACGGCACACAGTAACCATTCTCGTGTATATATATATATATATATAAATCCCTGCATAATAACTATCAATGGCCGATAAAAAAACAGCATAATAAAGCCAAATTAAAATTACAAAACCAAATGAAGGGATTTAGTGTTCTTCCAAACAACACAAACAAACTTAAAAACTCAAATGAGGAATGCAAATCCATTAATTTTTCAGCTTGTGAGAAACCATCTACTGTTCTTGAGGGATCGATCACAACCACAGAAACAAAAAAAGAAACAACTTATAAGTATCAGTTATCAAATCCTCTCCAGTTATCCATACCCGAACCCGAACCCGAACCCGCAAAATTACTTGATTGAAAGCTCATGAAATCACGCTCTCGCTGCTGTTCCTCATTCGTCTGCTGCTGCTGCTGCTGCTGATCATGTGAGGCAAGCTGTGAATATGAAGAAGACATGGAAGAAGGTCCCTGAGAAATGAAGCCACCATGAAACCCTAATTGTGCTGAGGAAGTGGAATGACTATTCTGCCCTTGCATTAGGTTTGCATAGTGAGCGACATCAAGATAAGTCTCTTGGCCCTGATAAGTAGAAGAAGAAGAAGAAGTGAGAAATGTTCTTCCTTGAACTACCCTCTCCGGGAAGTTAAGCTTAGCCTTGTTGCCTTTGAAGTTTAGGGCAGCTTCGTCGTATGCGAGGGCAGCAGCCTCCGCAGTGTCGAAGGTGCCCAGCCATACTCGGGCAGCCTTCTTGGGGTCGCGAATCTCCGCCGCCCACTTACCCCATGGCCTCTGCCGTACGCCGCGGTAGTGCCGCCTCCTTGGGTTCCCGGTCGTCGCTAGTTCTTGTGATTTTATGCAAAATTAAACAGATCAGATTGAACAAATTAATATATAGGCTAAATTGTATAAAATTCACGTATAATTTTACGAAATTGCGCAAAATGCATTATACTTTCAAAATTGCGTCATATTTCTTCGTGGTTTCATAAACTTTGCGTCTAACTCTCTCAACCGTCCTTATTTAGCAGTGTTTGACGTACACGCACCTAAAACGCGAATAAGTTTTAAAATATTCACTTTTAAACCCTTAAAATTATAAATATACTCATTATTCTTATTATTTAACTTCAAGAAATAATAAAAATACTCAGAAATAGTTATTTTTTTTTCGAATTTTAGAAGTTTTTTTTTAATGTTATTTGAGGATAAATATAAGATAAATAAATATATTTATAATTTTAGGAGTTTAAAAATTAGTATTCTAAATTCATTCGCAGTTTCAACGATCAAACATCCTTAAATAAGGATGACCGATCGGGTTAGACGCAGAGTTTATGAAACCACGACGTAACTTTGTAAAATCATAGGTGGATTTTGTATAATTTATCTTAATATAATATATATATATAGATAATTAATTCATTGAATTGGGTTGGGTAGGGTTGGGTAGGGTACCTGCTGTGGTGGCGGTAGGGAGAGGAGGAGGTTGGGATGGAGGGGGTGGGGGTTGGGGTGGAGTGTCGCCGGTGTAACCGAGGACTTGGGAGAGGGCGGCGACCATGGCGGACATGTCTTGCTCCGATCTGGCTGATGAGTACAACAGCGGATTCTGCTGCTGATTGTTGTAATAGAAGTGGTCGTAATTATTGTCATCCGATACCGATTGATGGTGGTCGTGGTCATGGGGCCTCTTCCCATGTCTGCCACCGTTGAAGGGATCCACTGTTGCGTTGCTTATCTTTGTCTTCTTCTTCTTCGTCTTCTGCAACACTTCAAAGCATTAACTCTCTCACTCTAACTGCATCTGAGAGAGAGAGAGAGGAGCGTTTGAAGAGAGAGAGAGAGAGCGTGTTTGGAGAGGGGAATAAGAGGGGTTCACACTTCCAATGTAGAAATAAAGAGCCCACAATTTGTGCCTTTGGAGGGTTGAATTTTGGTGTATGTACACATCATTTATATAGAGAATATATATATATATATAATTTTTTTTTTTCTTGCAAAATATCAAATTAAAGTTTCAATTTTTCATTAATTAATCTTACACAATATTGAACATCAATTTTGATTCCAAGCTGAATTACAGAAAATGATGCATTTGCTTAGGTAAGAATTTTGTACTTTGCCCGTCATCTAAAAATATTTTTTAATTTTTAGACATAAATTTTTAATATGAATATTACTTTTGGTTACTTTGTAGTTTTTATAGTAAAAAACAATATAAGTTTTTATTTAAAAAAATAAAAATATTTTTAAATGAAAAAAAAAGTAATTATAAATTTATATGATGGAGTGAATAAGTTTTAAAAATAATATTAAATTAAATATTTAATGTAACAGTTTGTGATAAAAAGATAAATAAATATTTTTAATTGACACAATTTTTCTTATAAAATACTTCCTCAATTTTAACTAATTTGTCTGGAGTATAATTCTAGGATACGGATCCCATGGGGTGTTGATTTAATTTTATGTATTAATTAAATTTGATATAAAATTAATGGTGTAGATTAAATAGGGGTTAAATTGTCTTTTTATCTAAAATATTTTATTTTATAAAGATTTTTTAGATTAATTATTTGCTTGTGGTTCACACTACTGTTGCTGTCTCCGCCGCCGCCGTTGCCATTGTTGTTGTCTCAACCAGTGCTTCCGCTACAACCGCCGTAAACCTAGTGGTGATCTCCATTCTCTGGGAGTGTACGTGGGCTTGGTTGATGGGTGAAAAGTCATTGGTGGTGGATGATGGATTGTGTTGAGCAACGCGTGGTGGTTGACAATTTGCATTCTAGTAGCATGAGAGGATTGAGTGAAGGGTGGCGGCGATGGTGGAAGAAGGGTGGTGAAGTTGATTGGAAGAGTAGTGGAAAGCATATGTTGATGTCATGCTGAATAGTATAGTGTAAAATGTTCTTCGTGCACATATAAATGTTGACATCAATAAAACAAAATGTTGACATCAATAAAACAAAATGTTGATTTATTTTAATTACCAATAATCTGAATATTTTTATACAACAATAAATACTGATTTTTTTATGCATCTTAAATTTAACTATAAATCACTATTATGTGCATACGCACACTAGAAATTGTAAGCATCATCTCGTTTTGTTAATTACATCATTGAAAATAATATGGTGTCTATCCAATAATACGGTGAAAAATGTCAAATAATACGGTGTCTATTCAATAAATCATGTTTATATAGATGCTGGAAAATGTCAAATAATACGGTGTCTATTCAATAATAAAATGCAGTCACACATTTTTTAAAATACTGATTGTTGTATCAAGTTGTATAATATAATATGAAATGTTCTCTCGTGCATACGCAAATGCTAAATTCAATTGAACGAGATGCTAAATTTTTTTAATTAACAATAATAAGTTATTTTATACAATAATGAATGAAGAAATTTTTCTGCATCTACAAATTCCTATTATGTGAATACTCATAATAAAAATTGTAAAATTTTGTTAATTTAATTGAATGTCAATCAATAGATCATGTTTATATTAGATGCTAAAAAACTTCTAACAATATGTTGTCTATTGAGTATTAAAATATTGTCACACATTTTAAAGAATACTAAGTTTTCAATCGGTTTGTATAATATAGTATGAAATACTTCTTATGCACGTGTAAATGCTAAATTCAACTGAACAAGATGTTAATTTATTTTAATTAACAATAATTTATATATTTTGATATAATAACGATCACTAATGTATATTATCTAGATTTTTAATATATGTAAATGAGATTTTAATAGTTGGTTGCTCTACAGATTTTGGTTGTTGAGGGAATGAGATGAAGATATCTGAAATTTCAATTTCTTCTATGTTTCCGTTGCTTTTTGAAGAATTGATTGAAGTTGAAATAATAGAAAACAGATTTTGTTCGATCTCATTCAAAATTTTGTGGAATAATAGAAGAAAAAATAGGGAGATGAAGAAGGCGAGAAGAAAGAAGAAAAGAAAGAAGAAGCCAGTTACCTAAATTATTAATATGCAAATTATGTATGATGCTGAAAATTAGGTCTCAACATTGGATTTCAGCCTATAATTGTATTAAAAAAAAAAAAAAAAAGGACAAATTATATAGAACAATAAAAAAAAAAAAAAAAAAGAATTGACAAAGTAAAAAAATAGAATACTATTAATAAATAAAACTATCTGCAGGCTACACATGTGTCTGCATGTAAACAAATCCTATTTACCTACAAACAATTACTATTAGAAATGAGCTATTTATAGCATAAATTTAATCCGTAATAATTGGTGATTTTTTAACAAGATTCACTGTTATAAAACAAAATTATTTTGATCAATATTTTGTTTTTGGATAATTTATCTGTAGTAAATAAAAATTACCATATATTATCCTAAATATATTTATTACGTTTGTCAATAAGAACAAAAAGTTTAAAAAAAAATTAAATAAAAATATTCTTTCTATTAAAACAGAAAAATACTACAAACTAGAAAGATGATAATAAAAAAATTATATCAATATATCTATATTAATTTTTTTTTAAAAATACCCAAAAACACGAATATATCAATATATATTTTAAAAAATCCAAATCTGTAAAAGCATTTAAACACTTTCACAAAACCCCATCACAAATAAGAATTATATAATCAACGATTTCATCCTTAGTCTTAATATAACACTTAACAAAAATTTAGATTCTGTCATTCGTTCCCAATTTATTGCAGTTGGACCTAAGTCCAAGTGAATCAAAGTACATAAAACACATAACCGTCGAATTTCATCCAAAAGCGATGTTTCTATACATTCAGAAGTCGCTCATTCCATCAAGCTGAAGGCAAAAACTTTCATTGGATTGTAGTGCTTCCACATAGCAAGAGGATGTAACCTTCACAACAGGGTCCTTCCTGACTTTCAAAAGACCCGGGGTGAAATAAAAGTTAGGGGCCCTTGAATATATATAATATTTTTTACTTATAATAAAATATAAATAAATAAATAAATAATTCTAGCATAAATTTTAAAACTTGCGTATCGCTCCCTTATATTTTAACAATCGCTATATGAAACTCCCGCCATGCAAAAAATATAAACGAAAAGTCATCTTCTTATCACCAAAAAAATATAAAAATGAGTCTAGTAAAACATTTTTTAAAGTATAAGGGAGTTCATGTCATTTTTAAAGTATATAGAGGATTTACATTTCAAAATCATAAAGGAGTTATTGATAATTTTGCCTAATAATAATAATAATAATTTTGTCTAATATTTATTATCTTTTTAGTGTAATAAAAATAATTACAACAAAAATAAAAGATCCCTAAATATATATAAATGATTTACTCCGATTTTCTTTTACCTATAATAGAATATAAATTATTGAATAAAATAAATTTTTTAGAATTTTTAGATAAAATATCAATAATAGTATTAATATTAACAATCTTAAAACAAAAATTATTAGCCATAAATATGTATAAATAATATATTTTTCTTATCTATAATAAAATATAAATAATTAAATAAAATAATTTTCCTAATATTTTTAAAATTTAAAGGTACTTGGGTTTGAACTCAATACCTGAACTTAACCACCAAGCCATTCTCTTGTATTAATATACTAATGTCAAATAATTTTTATATAAAATAATTTATATATAACATAAATAAATAATGGGTCCCATTTTAGATTGGGCCCTAAGAGGTCGCCTTTCATTCGGGTCCAGGGACGGCCCTGCTCCACAAGCCCAGAGAAGCAACCTCCGTTGGCCCTAGGTTGATAATTTGTTAACATCAATGGAAGACCCCGGCATATACACGTTCTTTGTGGAAGGCTCCATGGGTGATAGTCATAAATCGCATGTATTAAATATTTATATTATTTGCGATATTTGGTTGATTGAAAAGTAAAAAAAAAAAAAGCCCAAAGCCCAATTGTTACAAAATTAGGGCAAATATATAGGAAAGAAATAAGGGGGAGGAGCGACTTATGCCGCTTGCCGAGGAGAACACCGTGCAGAACAGTCCTAGGGAAAAACCGTGCAAGCGCAAGAGGGAGAAATATTCTTCCAAAAAGATTTCGAGTTCTACCCCTACCAACATCATTCTCAGGCGATGTTTCTCTTTGCTTCATTTGTTCTTCCTCTTATGATTAGTGAGTAGTTTACTTTTCTAGTTTAGGAGTGAAAAACAACTTGGTATGGATTTGAGAGATTAGACTTGTTTTGATTTATGATATTATTTTGGTTCATAAGTATTTATGTGGTGTCTGATTTTTTTTTACTTATAATCTTTTATTTGGTTGGATATTGTGGTCAGGTATTTCAATTGGATTAAAGATTAATTGCTAAACTAAATTAGACATCCGTAATTGTGTTTTAATTTGGTTTAAGTAGCAACTAGTGACAGACACCATTAGGAAATCACATAATCAATATTAAACAATTTCGCATAGGTAATTGTTAAATTGAATTAGGCTCTTCTAGTTCGCAAGACGGTTAGGCTAGTAAGTTCTTTGTCGCGTCACTAGGGAAGCAGTTGACGGACGTACCTAGACTGTTGAGAAATTAAGGAAAAGTTGGTTATTAGACACGTGTCGGTAACTATAAATAATTTATTTAGAAACCAATAAAATTAAATATTTATCGATGATCAAATCCACTACCCAAGTTGTCAATTTCATTCCTAGACTGGAAACTATTTTTATTGAATTTATCTTTTAGTCGTAGAGTTTTAAGTTTGTTATTTTATTTTTATTTCCTACTTCCAAAATCTCCTATTTTATTATATTTATAAATTAAACAATCGAAAATAAAATATTTTTAATTCCCTAAGGAGACAACCCCCTACTTTATCTATACTATGTTATTTTTATTGCAGATGTAGGTTTATTTTATTTAAATTTTGCAACGTGTGACAAACGTATGTCAAATTTTGACACCGTTGCCGGGGAATTCTAATTGGTTCAATTTATCTTTAATTGTTTTAAATTATTTTTTAAAAACCTAACACTTTCTGGTTTATATCGAGATCTGATCGCACATGAAACTTGATTTTCAACCCCGAGATTGAGAAGACTGCGCGTCAATTAAGAAAAGAAACTAGAGAGCGTCGCCAAAAAATTTAGCTTTAGAATCATCTAGCGATTTTAATTTTGACGAGTTGGAGCTAAAAGAAGAGATTGAACAAAGGACAATAGGGGAGCTTGCAGCTCCTTACTTGACTTAGCAACATCTCTGCATAGGATACCTGACAGTAGACGGTAACAGTGCTTTTAAATTAAAACCAGGACTAATACACTTGTTGCCTTCTTTTCATGGGTTGTCAGGAGAAGAGCCACATAAGCATCTTCAAGAATTTGATGTCGTCTGCACAAGTATGAAGCCACAAGGAGTAATAGAAGATAAAATCAAGCTTCGTGTTTTTCCCTTCTCACTGAAAGATGCTGCAAAAGATTGGCTATTTAATCTACCTATCGGAAGTGTCACTACATAGACTGATATGAAGAGAAAGTTTCTCGAAAAGTACTTTCTCACTTCATGAGCTGCGATCATGAGGACAGAGATATGCAGAATGACACAACATACAAGGGAATATTTATTTGAATATTGGGACCGCTTTAATGCTTTACTTATTCGATGTCCCCATCATCAAATTCCCGTGCAATTACTGATTTAATATTTCTATGAAGGTTTGACTTCCATCGTCAGGAGAATCATAGACGCAACAAGTGGAAGGGCCTTGATGAACAAAACTCCTAGAGAGACGTGGGACATACTGAACAATATGACAATGAACTCACAACAGTTTGGACCAAGAGAAGCAGTAGCAGTTAAAGAAGCAAGCAATGTGAGTTCTATTCAACAACAAATGACTAAAATAACTTCATTTTTTCGACAATTTGTTTCAGGGAAGGCACAAGTTAAGGCTTGTGGGATCTGTGCAAGTTCGGAACATCCCACTGATATTTTTCCTACTTTGAGTCAAGAAGTAGATGTAAGTGCTGCAAGATTCATCTCAAGAGCATACAACCGCTACTCGTATACCTACAATCCATGATGGAAAGATCAGCCGAACTTAAAGTATGGGAATCAACAAGCTAACTTTGGAGATCATTCGAGAGGATTCCCAGCACCTAACCACCCTCCACAACCCCCTCAAACGGTTCCGAGTAATTCCTTAGAGGATATGATGAAAACTATGGCGTCTAACATGTTACAATTTCAACAAGAAACTCGGAATAGCATAAGGAACTTGGAAGAACAAGTAAGTCAAATAGCGAATGAGATGTGCGAGATAAAGTCAAGAGAAAAAGGCAGATTGCCTTCACAACCCGACGCCAATCTGAGGAATGTGAGCTCGATTGTTATGAAAAATGGCAAAGATTTAAAAATATCAAAAGCTGAAGTTCTAAAAGACAAGAATGACAATGCCATTGAGAAAGAAATAGAGAAAGCCGCCAATGAAGTATCGATCAAGGTAACTTCTGAAACACCTACTAATACTAAAACTAATGTTGCACCATTTCCTTACAGGTTGGCGAAACCAAAGAAGGATGACAAAAATAAGGAGATGATGAAGATGTTTCGAAAGGTGGAATTGAACATACCCTTACTAGATGCGATCAAGCAAGTGCCGAAGTATGCAAAATTTCTGAAGGATCTTTGTGCGAACAAGAAGAGACTACGTGGAGACTAATGCATTATTGTTGGCGAGAGCGTATCTGCCGTTTTACAACGTAAGCTTCCTCCTAAACGTGGAGATCCAGGTATGTTCTCGGTTCCTTGTAAGATAGGTAAGTTGGAGGTTAAACGAGCAATGTTAGATTTAGGAGCTGCAATTAATGTGATGCTTAAGTCTATTTATAAGTCTTTGAACATTGGGCCTTTAAAATAAACTGGAATTATTATACAATTAGCCGATAGGACAAACGCTTACCCTGAAGGAATGATTAAAGATGTCCTAGTGCAAGTTAACAAATTAATTTTTCTGATTGATTTTTATGTTCTTGATATGCATGATGATAATTTTCCAAATCCTGCACCGATTTTACTAAGTAGACCATTTATGTGCACCGCAAAAACTAAAATTGATGTGAAACAAGGTATACTTTCTATAGAATTTGATGGTGAGAAAGTGCAATTTAATATTTCCGATACTATAAAATACCTTGAAAAAATCTAATTTAATATTTCCGATACTATAAAATACCTTGAAAATGTGTTGTGCAGTGTGAATGTTATTGAAAAAGGTATGCAGAAAGTCTTGGGATTGCATGATAAATCTATTTTGGATATAAAATCGAAGCCCCCTTCGAATCAGCTGGAGTTGGAGCATGCTCACTTCAATAATGATGATATGAATCTTGCAGAGAAATTTTTTGTGAGTAATCATCGTTTTAAACATGAAAGTAAAAGAAAAAACTGAAGTAGGTAAGACGATCCGAGGTAGTGTCACCTAATGACTAATATGGTAACTGCGTCTAGCCAAAGACGTTAAAGAAAAGCGTTTCTTGGGAGGCAACCCAAGTTTTCTAGCTTTATTTCTTTTATTTCCTTTAGTTTTTGTTTTATTTTTTAATTTTTAAACATCTCCTATTTGAGTTGGATTCTTTATTTTTTTTTTTAGGAAACTTCTTGGAGAATTTTGAAAAAAAAAAATACTAATTTCTACATGGCGATCCACCAAAATGCCGTTTTTCTTCTTTTTCCTCCCTATTCAGCTTATCCAACCTGGATGAGCCATCGATTTTGGTATTGGAATACAAAGAAAAAACAGGCAGTCGCACCAATCTTACGGATTCCAAGGAAGTTTCTCTCTTATTTTACTTTTTTTTTACATTGAGGACAATGTTTACTTTAGGTGTGGGGAGAGAGGAGAGTAATGCAAATATTTTTGGGCAAAATTTTCATTTTGTGCTACTTTTGATGTCTGATTTGCTGTCCTTACGCATGTTTTTTAGATTTGTCTGAAGTGAGTCAAAGGTGGTTTGAGTGATAGTTTAGTCTGACATGATTGATGACATTGAAATATGTTAAGCCAGGTTGACATTTGAACCATGTGAGAATTCGAGTATATATTTCAAAAAGGTTACATTAGAAAATAAACTACATATTATCAAGTTTTTGGAAATTCTTTCTTGTGTGATTTGTAGTGCTCAATTAGATGACCTAGAACTTGAGTGATTATGCATGTTGAACTTGCAACTATCGAGTCTTGCATTTTGAAAATGATAAGGGCATTAGGTAACCCATTGAACCTTTCTTTATCACCCAACAAAATATATTTCCCCTAGTTAGACCATTTGAGACTTTTTAGCCTATTTTTCTTCTATATTAAACGTGTTTTAGCCTCATACCTTTCTTTTGATATTAAACCTTCTCTGATTTGAATCATATGTTAGAAAGAATTACCTTAAGTTCACGTTGTGATGCACCTTATTTGTTCGGCACCAGTTAGAAACGAAGTTTGAGTATAAATAAATAATGCATTCAAAAGTGTTTGCTTTAATGAGAACGGGTAGTGAAAGACGTATATATATATATATTTTTTAAAAAAAGGCCAAAAAAAGAAAAAATAAAATAAAATAAAATTAAAGATCATCTTGATGAAGTATTATTGATATAATCATGTTATTGAAGTTTGGGTAGTGAATAAAGTAATGGTTTCATTGTTTATGCCGAACTGTTTTTCATGTGCTAGCATCGTATTCTTATTGTGTTCTTTTCTAACATATTTTAGCCTTCGCATATCCTTTTTTCTACCCCTAACCATCAGCCCCGTTACAACCTTTATAAAAAAATTCCATTTGATTCTTGATGTTAGATTCGAGTATCTTAAGCAAGGGAGATTTGATTTTTTCAAGCCTATGAGATAATTTTTGTCGCACTACTTGAGCGTTAGCTGATTATACACACTTATTTCTTTCAGAGAGCATGTACGCATACACTTTATCCTGTGAGGTTAACTTGGCTTGATATGTTGAATTTTTGATTGATTTGGTTGAGTTAGATTTTCTTGTCATATTGAATCGCCTCCGATTTCTTTTGGCTTGTTTCGAATTTATGCTTGAGGGCAAGCATGATCTAGGTGTGGGGAGATTTGATAGCCATAAATCGTATGTGTTAAATATTTATATTATTTGCGATATTTGGTTGATTTTGACTAGATTCTACTTGATTTAGGTATATATTATTTATTTCTGATTTGTAGGAGAAGAATAATAAAATTGATAGAATTAGAGGGAAAAGAGAAAAAAAGGCCCAAAGTCCAATTGTTACAAAATTAGGGCAAATATAAAGAAAAGAAATAAGGGGGAGGCGCGACTTATGCCACTTGCCGAGGAAAATAGCGTGCAGAACAGTCCCAGGGTGAAACCGTGCAAGGGCAAGAAAGAGAAAGATTCTTCCAACAAGATTTCGAGTTCTACCCCTACCAACATTATTCTCAGGCGATGTTTCTCTTTGCTTCCTTTGTTCTTTCTCCTATGATTAGCGAATAGTTTACATTTTTAGTCTAGGAGTGAAAAACAACTTGGTATGGATTTAGGAGATTAGACTTGTTTTAATTTATAATATTTCTTTGGTTCCTAAGTATTTATGTGGTTTCTGATTTCTTTGAGTTATAATATTTTATTTGGTTGGGTATTGTGGCCAGGTATTTCAATTGGATTAAGGATTAATTGCTAAACTAAATTAGGCGTCCGTAATTGCGTTTTAATTTACTTCAAGTAGCAACTAGTGGCAGACACCATTAGGAAATCAAGGAATCAATTTTAAACAATTTCGCATAGGTAATTGTTAAATTGAATTAGGCTCTTCTAATTTGCAAGGCAATTAGGCTAGTAAATTCTTTGTGGCGTCACTAGAGTACTCGTCTAACTAGGGAAGCAGTTGACGGGCGTACCTAGACTGTCGAGAAATTAAGGAATAGTTGATTATTAAGCGCGTGTCAGTAACTATAGCTAATTTATTTAGAAACCAATTAAATTAAATATTTATCGATGATCAAATCCACTACCCAACTTGTCAATTTCATTCCTAGACTGGAAATTTATTTTTATTGAATTAATCTTTTAGTCGTAGAGTTTTTAGTTTGTTATTTTATTTTTATTTCCTACTTCCAAAATCCCCCATTTTATTATATTTATAAATTAAACAATCGAAAATAAACCTTTTTAATTCCCTGAAGAGACGACCCTACTTCATCTATACTACATTATTTTTATTGCAGAAGTAGGTTTATTTTATTAAAATTTTGCAGCGTGTGACAAACACATGTCAATGGGTCAAGCCAAAAGAAAGAAGAATGAAAATTTCATGTAACTCAAAGCTGTTGGGGACACATCCCGTGGACTGACTAGGAGTATAAGGAAGCAAGTTGACGTAAAAAGTGTATAATACCCTTAGAGCCGGAGATTTTCCATTTAAACTATTTTATTCTAACACTAATTAAATATATAAAAGTACTTAAATATATCTGAACACACCAATATATAGTCAAATGTACAAAATTTGTAGACAAATTTAGGCGGCCGATGACATGAAAATTAATTTTCTTGAATTATGGTACATATAAACATGCACACAGATGTATATATATATATATATATAATATTTCCTTTTTTTTAGTTTATGTTTACGCATTTCTTGTATATATTATATATATATATATATTTATGAGTCAAGCCAAGTAAATACTTCTTTCATCCAATCAAGTTTAGCTTTTTTCTTTTTTATTATTTTGTAAAATTTACAAAAAAATAAGATTAAAATTAGCTGACAGAATGAGTACTACTTTTATATTGAATAGAGAAAAAATATATAGTATTTAATTAAATATATATTTATTAATTCTATTTCAATTAATTAGGGTGTGTTTCTTTTTTAAGAAGTTGGAAGAAATTGAGTTTGATTTTGGATTATATTTGAATTTTAAAATGAGTTTGAATTTTTGTGTTTTTTTAGGTTTATAAGTTTGGTGTGTAATAAAAAAATACAAAAACAATAATATATTTTTCTGCTGAAAAAGAAAAAAAAAATTGAATGAATTTTTTGGTGATATTTTCTGTGTTAAATAACTCATTATTTCCTCTCCTATTATTTAGATTTATGTTTACTTTTTTTTTTAAAAATTGTTATTCAAAAATATTTTTATTTTTTTATAGTAAAAATATATCACTTTTTCTATTTTTTACTATAATAGAAAAAAATATTTTTACTGATTTTTTTTAAAACTCGTGTATACCATAATTTTAGATGAGAAGTAATTTTTACTGATACGGTAGGCTGCAGTGGCGTCTAGATTTTTCTCCGACCAATACGAATGGCGGAAACTCTCAGCCACCAACAACAGAAAGACGTCCTTCACCCAAGACAAAGCGAATCCGGAAGCAATAAACTCCGTCAACTGAACAGCAAAGACAACTTCTTCCTTTTCCAGCACCGGAGGACAACGCGAATATCAGCATTCCACAGTTAGGCTTAGATTTAAACCCGATGAAGGAGTTTTGGATCCGACCGCCTTCCAATCGATACCAAAACCAACAGAATTTTAACCTCTCTATCTAAACTACAACCTCAATTCTAACCCATAAAACACAGTAACGCCACTATAAAAAAAAGTTAAATTTAGCTACAAAAAAATTTCATATGAAAAGATAAGAATTCATAGCAAAAAGGTTTTCGCGACGAAAGTCA